AACCAAACGGTTAATTAAAAAGTGGGATACAAAGTTATCTCCTGACTTGTATGTATATATAAATAAAAAAAAAGAATGAGGTTTTTACTGATCTAGAGTCATATGAATATTTTTTCAATAACAGTTAAACCTCTGCATAAATCTGGTTTAACAATAGAGAGCATTATATACCACATGAATTCGCATGCTTAAATTGACATTAACTTCCTTCAATGAAATATCGCCTATAGCCTATATTTCATTAATGACTAATAATTATAATTGTAATACGAAATATAAATCGGTAGCAAATAATATTGTGACGACTAGTAGATTCGTTTGTATTTTGTATTGTGTGACGGAAAAAAGGAAACTGTGCAACGGAAAGTACATAAGTATGGCAATGCTTTACTTTTCAAGTTATCCATATGAAGCACTAAATTCTCGGTTCAATCGGGTTTGCGTAAATTATTGCCCATTCGAGAGCCAAAAGAGCAACTGATTTTCTTCTGTGTGGATTCCATTCGTTACAACATACAGTATTTAAATTTAATTCCACCAAATCGAGTAATAAAAACGCAACTGTTTCACACATTAATTACGAATAAGGGAATATTGATATCTTATGTTAGGTATAGCGTTGTGAATGTTTTCTATGTGTGTATCTTTAAGGTTGCCTTAATCTATTTATCACCTTGTGACACTAGGATTTTCTATACAAGATTGCTTAAAATAAGCCACTGTCTCAACATAAATGTATAATGATATGTAAATTAACCACATAGGAATTTTCTCAAATTGTTCACTCTAATAATACTCCCTAGTGTCATTGATTTTTCCTTCTGTTTTTTATATTGCTTATTTACTATTGCAGGTTACCTTCAAGGTAATACATGAATATAACTATTAAAAACATTAAATTGCATAACCATTTTGGGCCGTTATTTAATTCCTATTTGGATAAGGCCTATAGAAAAAAAAAACATAAAAGCAAATATAAATAAAAAGTACGAGGTGTTAGCCCGTCCTACGTACGGGAGTAGTCAGTTAAAACTGTGTATAATTCAGAACAGCTAGCTTACACGTATAAAGACAAATTTTATTGCAGCCTACAGTAGAAACAATAGATACATTACAGCAATAGATAGAATTATCAATTGAGAAGTGTGTAGGCCTAGTCAACGATATCACCTTCCAATTCTATCGCATACCTGCTTCTTCCATAATCAATATCACCAAAATACAATTACTCATACTATACACAATTTCCAGTAGGTCTGAATAGGAACTCCCTAAAATAAAACGAAAACATCCAATAAAATTCACAGTACACATAATTATAACGTCGGTGTCCTGACATCATTAAACGATTTGTCCACACATATCCTTTATATCAATTTCACTGCATCAATTGCTAAAATAAATAAGTGTAAACAAAGAAAAGTAAAAACAACAACATATAGTTTTTTTGGTAACAGCTGATTCAAAAATAAAATAATATTCACATGGAAAAAAAGAACTGGTCACATGTTGAAGGAATTTAAAACGTAAACACGGTAGTAAAGCTAGTGACGTAATTAATAGTCTATATAAAATATTCAGCGCCTCCAAACGTAACCACAACTAAACACACGCCAAACAACGGTTTAGATTTCATAAAAGGATGGTTAGTCTAATTGCAGTATCCTAGGTCAATGATGACGTTGTGTTCAATCTATGTCATTCATCTGAAGGCCTATATCTTTTGATAAAACCCGTCTGAGGTTGTGAAGGTAATTTAAAATCGTATTCCTGAGGATTCTTGACCTCCTTCTTTATGACATCAACATTTTCGGGCCTAATCCAAACAAAGTTTAAGCATTCAAAAACATCGATTGTAAACAAAAAGCCACCAAGATGAATTAAAACATGTAAAAATTGTGATTTTCCTACCCTTTCCTAAAAAAGGTTGAGCAGTAAAATAATTTGCATATCCTTTTTTTAAGACTCGTTTATAGAGCCTCGACTTGTATACATGGATGGTGTTACTTATCTCGGTGGTCTACTAATCTTACTTATTTCCTATAATCAATGACAAAATCAGATTAAATAAAATAACCTCATCATAGTTCTATAAAGCATTTTTATATTTAACCAGCTTTTAGTTAAAATAAATTATATTTCACTAAAACAAACCGAAGATTAAACATATATTTCGATTACTTAAAAGAATAATTTGAACTTCCTAGTATTTTACTATGTATATTTAAATAATCTGTCATCTTCTTATCGAAGTATTGAACGTATCAATGATTAGCATTACACATAGTATAAATAAGTCAACCCTTAGTATGTCTTTTAATCTTATCCAAATGCTGAATTTGTGTTACAAACGCTGAATGTTTACAGCTGTTTTGGTAATCAAATTATATTATACCAAAAGCTAGTTTAGAATCTTAGCGTCGGCTGCTAGACTTTTCAAAAATTAAAACTTAATTTCTAAATAACTGGGACCCTAAACTAAAATTATGGCTTCGACATTCCCTAGTTCTCAAAATTATCTTTCTTTCAACACAAAAATCATGAAAATCCGTCGAGTGGTTGATTCAGAATCGTGAAATAAAAAAACACTGTTTCGTTTTAATATTATAGATAGTCAGAATCAAGTATAAGGCCTAGGAAACCACTTTTTGGGTCACGTTTTAAGTTATTGGAGTCATTCTACCCTATAGAAAATATTCCGTTCCATAACACTTTCATTTAATTTTTTGAATTAAATAGATAGATTTTAGGTTCGGAAAAAGATTATTTGAATCTATAAGTAGATTCTTAAAATTACATCGATCTAGTAATAACGGTGCCTTGAAAAATCATTTAAAGGCCCACATATAAATACTAGGCCACTAACTGGGCTAAACAAGGGTGAAATGCGTTATCATAAAGGAATTGTTCTATAAAATATCGTTATCAAATTTTCAAATTACTTAATTACAATTTATGAACAATCTAAATTGAGAGACACATGTACATGTGTGAACTATTACATTTTGTAGGCAACTAATTTCAAAAATATTTATATACAGGCTAGTAGCATATTTTCATACACAACAAATACTTTTAATTATATGTGCATTTCCACCTATGCTTACATTTAAGAATTTCTTCTGACTCCTAGTGCCCCCCCCTGAGGAGAGAGCGTGTATCTGAATAACGTGTTAAAATGATTTTAATGCCCAGTAAATTTGTACCAGGTTTTATAGCTCTATCTTTATTATTTTTTTTTATCATTTATCTGTTTCGGGACTTTTTTCCACCCTGTATCAACCGGTATTTTCTATGTTTCATGTTGGCCTCCGAAGACATAAAAACGATACAGTAAATAGATCCCAGGTGTAGGTTTTGCCACGAGACTAACGGTAATAGCTAATTCCATATATAGGATATTCCTTAAAACCAAACACACACGAAATATCATCAATAATAATAAACACTTCAGAAACATTTAAAACCCCTATATTAAAATGATTTCCCATATTAAATAAGCAGTTTGAAAAGTTTTTACTGCAGTACATTTGGCTCAGAAACGTTTACTTATCATGCAAAGTGGTCGTCATACTTAAAACTTAACAGTCATTATTAGTGGTGGAATGATAAGTTAAGGCAAGCGAAATGGCGATAGATAAGGTTTATGGACAATAAACCATTGCAGTGTCGTAGTTAGAATATTAGCAGTAGGAACAAATTGCCGTTTCGTAATATTACATTAGGGCGACGAGTTAATGTTGTCAAACAAAAGTAGGACTAATTTATTACTTAGTAAAAATAATGTATTACTCAATTGTAGCTTAACCAGTCACTTAAGAGTTACAGTATTAACGGTTCTACGGCACCAAATGCATTAACGGGCATTTAGCAGTTCTACAATATAATATACTGACAGTTTTAATAAGTGAATGATCACATAAATGTATACAATTGTTCACTGGTGTACGTGTATACGTAATTCCATTTACTTACGATGCATTTAGCTTAATTCAAATTTAAATTGCTTTATTACCATAAGCCTTTTAAAAATGACTATTCACTTACAAAATATAGTGAAATTCATTAATTGAAAATTTACTGTAGATAAGTTTGCTGATTAAAAAAATTGATCTAGTATGAATACCAATTCATCTATGACAAATTAAAAGGGAAGTTAAACTTTGCCGCAGTCTTTTATAAATACAATTCTATTAAATGACTAATAACTATTTTAGAAAGTGCGAAATAAAAATTGATTAAACATCTGTAGAATTGAGGCATTTTCAATATCATTTAAGTTTACATTCATTAAAAACATACCTAATAAGGCAAACAAATATACATGCTAAGCCAATAAAGATAAACTAAGTTGGAATTTGACGACAATATTGAGTTTCCCAGTTACAGAAAATTAGGTTAAGTGAAGAAAGATATTTCGTTTTGTATTACCAATGACTAACACTGAATCTAAATTGAACCGTAGTACCCACAATGTATGAAGTAAAAGTGAACTTTACAGTTTGTACTTAACATACGCTTAATTTATTGTGTAATCCTAACAATCCTTGCTTAATATTCTGACTTTTTTACTGTTTCCGTGAAAACAAAAACCGTGCAAACTAAAAATATATAATTGACACTTGATGGACAAATACTTTTGCTATTTATATTTTGGAACTCAATCATCCTAAAAAAATAAAATATTAAAATAATACACTAACGTTGCAAGTGTACAATTTAGAATCCTGTGTTATTGAGTTTTTCATAGCTCAAGTATCTTTACTAAACTGTCCTTTTTTTAATAGAATTATTTAAAACGTACATATGTGTTGTGTATTGTAAGTTTATATTTGTAATAAATAGTTAAATAAATGTAGGATGAAAAATGAGCCTTATTTTGTCACTAGTTTATTTATATCAATTGAATCACATTTTTGAAAATAACATATGATTAAATTATTAAATGCATAGCATTTGAAACATAGAGATACAACAGTTTCTTCCCCACTAAATTTGATTCATAAGTCCAGTCTTTTCCGTTGCTTTCTCGTTCTGGCTGATTTGCGAGGAACATCTGTTGAAGCATTGTCATCTGTTTGATGATTATTATGTTCACTGGGTTGAAGCCTGATTTCTGCATTTTCAAGTTTAACATTGTTATCTTCTCTGCGTTGAAGCCTGATTTCTATATTTTCCAGATCATTGTCCTTGATTGTCACGTTCTGTTGTTGTGAACTGGTATTTTTTTTAGGAGATGAGCTGGAGTGTGTTTTGTCTGTTGTTTCTGGCACTGATGTTCTCTTCAACTGATCGATGTGTCTCTTGCCAATGTAACCGTTGTCCAGTTTGACTTTGTAGTGCAGAGCTCCAAGTTGAAAAATAACTTTTCCGAACTTCCAGCCGTCTAAGGAACGTACTAATATTCTCTCCCCCACTTTAAATGAGCGGCTTACTTGTTGAAAACCTGGATGTAATGATGTGTTTTTCTTAGGGGGTTTGAGAGCATCTAGTTTTGTTCTCATCTTTCGATTTAAATACAGTTCAGCCGGTGATTGTCCGCATTGTAGAGGTACAGCTCGGTAGCGAAACAGTATGTCTTGAATTTTAGATTTAATATTCTTTCGAGGATCTTCAGCACAATTTTTCAGAGATGTCTTTAACGTTTGCACATAGCGTTCCGCTAATCCATTGGTTGCTGGGTGTCCTGGGGCGATAAATTTTTGAAATATGCCTCTTTGTCGGCAAAAGTCTGTAAATTCTTGGCTAGTAAAAATAGTGGCATTATCAGAAACTAGTACAGCAGGATATCCATGTGTAGAGAAGATATCATTTGGAAATTCTTTTGTCGTAGCTGTGGATGGTGCGTTTTTGGTTATTCGAACCTCAGGCCATTTAGATTTTGCATCAATCACTACTAGGAAATGGTGTCCATTAAATGGTCCTGCGTAGTCCATGTGAACTCTTTCAAAGTTTTCCTTAGGGATTTCCCAAGGGTGAAAAACTTTTGTTGGCTGTTTTGACTGTAAAGCGCAAGCTGCACATGATCGAACTTTATTTTCAATGTCTTTGTCAATTCCGGGCCAATAACAGTGGAGTCTTGCGAGTCGCTTCATTCTTACCATTCCTATGTGTGTTGCATGAAGCTCTTCTAAAACATGAGAGCGTAGTGATCTTGGAATGTATACACGTTCTCCTCTGAATACAATTCCTTTATTGGTTGAGTAGATTGGATCATTTACAACTTCTTTTATTTGTTTCATAAGATCTTTCATTCCTGGATCGTACGCAGTTTCTTTTGAAATTGAATCACTCGTGATGTTGATTGATGAGATTTGAAGGATTGAATTCTGTTCTATTTCATCTTCTTCTTTATTCAGTGCTGTGTCGATACCACGATAGTCCGTTGTTTGAAAAGTCCTGGATAGAAAGTCTACATTTTGGTGTTGTTCTGTTTTCCGATGTTTGATGTTGTATTCAAATCCTCTGAGGAAAACTGCATAGCGTAAAAGTCGACCAGCTGTCATTGGAGGAACATTCTTTGGGTGAAATATTCGTGTGAGTGGTTGGTTATCTGTGATCAATTCAAACTTTCTTCCATAGAGGTAGTTGAAAATTTTTCCAATAGAAAATACAATATCGAGTGCTTCGCGATCAAGTTGGCTGTATTGGGATTCTGATTTTGAAAGTGAGCGGGAGACAAATGCAATGGGCCTTTCTTCTCCATTGATAATGTGTGATAGTACTCCTGAGATCCCATGTAGGCTTGCATCGCAGGCTACGGATACTGGAAGGTCCGGGTCAAAAGGAACTACCACTCTATCTGAGGCTATTTCCTTCTTGATGTTGATGAACGCTTTCTCACAATCTTTTGTCCAGTTGAATGGTTTATTCTTGATGAGTAACTGGCGTAGAGGGTAAGTTATGGTAGAAGCTGCTGGAATGAATTTTGAATAATAAGTTACAAGTCCTAGAAACTTTCTCACTTCCTCTACTGAATTTGGTTTTTGAATATTGAGGATATTTGACACTTTTGCTGGAGACTTGGATATCTTGTTGTTTTCAATAACATATCCTAAGTATGTGATGCTTTCTTGGAAGAATGTGCATTTATTTCTGTTGAGGTGAAGATTGTTGGTTTGAAGTCGCTCCAGACAAGCTACAAGGTTGTTGAAACATTCATCCAAAGTTGAACCGTAGACAATTATGTCGTCAAAGTAAGAGCTGACACCTGGAAGGTCTTGTAGAACTTGTTCCATTACTTTTTGAAATATGCTGGGTGCAGTCTTGATTCCAAAAGACAATCTGTTGACTTTGTAAGTACCTTTATGGGTTGATATTGTTTGAACACAAGCACTTTCTTCATCGACACCTATGTGTAGGTAAGCTTTAAAGAGGTCGAGAGTACAGAAAAACTTGGCGTTTCTCAGTTTGTGGAGTGTTTCGTCGATCCTAGGAATCGGATAGTGTGAATCGTAGATTTGAGGATTGACTGTGACTTTATAGTCTGCGCATAGCCTAAGTGTACCATCAGGCTTAGGCACTACAACTAAGGGTGAACCCCAGTCGCATGATCCGATTTTAGTGATGATTTTGTCTTGTTCGAGTTTGTCAAGATCATGTCCCACTCTATCCCGGAGTGCATACGGTAAAGGTCTAGGTTTGAAAAATACTGGTTTGGATTGAGGTCTTAACTTTAGAGAGCAGGTGACATTAGGAATATGTCCTATTTCTGGTGAAAATATTTCTGTAAATTTTGATTCTACTGCAGTAACTAGTTTGTCTGTGTCACTGGAAACTAAGTTTACATAAGTACCGGTATCTTTTGGTCTCTGGATGTCAAGATCGTTCAAGTGGACTCCAAGTTGTCTTATCCAAGTCCTACCTAGTAGAGGGCTGTACATGTCAGGAACTAAAAACAACTGCTGTGTAGATGAGCGTCCATTGTATTCAACCTGAACATTAACTAAGCCTAAGGGTTGGAAAACCTCATTTGTGTAAGAACGAAACCTTATATTTGTACTCTGGATTGTGTTTTGAGGAAGATTAAGTCTATCAAATTGAGCCTTTGGTAGCAGGGTATGAGCTGCGCCTGAATCTACCTCAAACTTTTGTGGTTTCCCATTGATTAGAATAGTTGTGAAAAATTTTTCTGTGTCTGATGAATTGTAGTCAGTTACATTGAGAATTTGAAGTTGCCCTATTCCATCAAGTGAGTTTAAGTCCTGTGAATCATTTGGAGTAGTAGGCCTACTTATTGTATTAACTGTAGGCCTGGATTTCTTAGAGAGTAGAGTTGATATACAGACCTTGGCCATGTGTCCATCCTTGTCACAGCTTTGGCAGTGAAGGCGTGATATGTTGGTTTTACATTCCCTGGACATGTGATTTGCTTTACCACATCTTAAACACAGGTTTCCAATTCCAAGTGTTGCCAAATCAACCTTATTTCGTCTTGTGGAAGGGTGATTTAGTCTGTTGTTAGATCTGTTGTTGAGGTAGGCTGTCCTTCTTGGTGTATAATTCTGGTGTGTTGGTCTTGTCAATAATTTGTTGACTTCTGCCTGTGACGTTGTTTGAGGACTAGAAAAGTTGTTCAGAGTTGCACTGTCTATTTTTGAAGCTTCAATTGCTATTGCCTTTTCTACGGCAATGTCAAATGTTAAGTCCTTGGTCTGGATTAATTGTTCTCTAATTGAAGAGTCATGAATTCCCCTGATAAACTGTGATCTTAAGAATAAGTCAGATACAGATGCTTCACATGATGTACAGGTAAGTTTGCAAGTTGCAATTTGTTTCCTAAGAGCTGTTACATAGTCTGTTATTGATTCATTTTGTGCCTGGATTCTGGATAAAAACTTATGCTGTTCTACAATTTCATTGGTTTTTGGAAAGTAATTGTCTAATAATTTTGTAATTTCATCATAGGTTTGCTCATTAATACTTTTTGGAGCTGAGAGTGAAGACAAAAGGTCATATGTTTTAGAACCTACACTATTGAGAAAAAGCTGGGCACAAATAGTTTTATCATCAAAAGCATTCTTTATCTTTAGGTAATTTTCAAATCTTTCTTTGTATAGTTGAAAAGTTTCTTTGTTTGAGTCAAATTGTTCGAAATTGGAAATTAATGCGATGTTGGATTGTTGAGTCTTTGACATACCTTGAATAGCTGAAGACAAGGTCTTGATTAATATTTCAAACTGTTCTTGGTTCATTTTGAAAAAAATATATAAAATCAACTTTAAAAACAAATAAAAACGTGTTATCCCATCCTCGTCGCCATTTCTGTTGTGTATTGTAAGTTTATATTTGTAATAAATAGTTAAATAAATGTAGGATGAAAAATGAGCCTTATTTTGTCACTAGTTTATTTATATCAATTGAATCACATTTTTGAAAATAACATATGATTAAATTATTAAATGCATAGCATTTGAAACATAGAGATACAACAATATGCTTCTAATTTTTTTTTATTGAACTAAAGTAAGTATAGCCATTATAATAACAATCTTGTACTTAAAATCTGCTAAATTTCTTGTGTGCCTTAGTGATACTCTAAGAAGTCTTCACTTTATTATCATGGACAAGATATTAAACCTGACACAAACACCTCTGGAGTTAATTATCACCTAAGTAAAGTTTGCTGTATACAATGGTCGGCACCGAATCAAAGGGAGTCCTTCTCTTGGAGTTAGTGGTCTTGGGACATCAAGCTAAGTAAACCCAATAATTGCTGCCAACACAGCCGTACTACTATCAGAGAAATAATAGACATAATCATAATCCCATTATGGTCTGGTTTACTTTTTTTTTAATTGCAACTCAGCAGACTCAAAGGCAGCACTAAATGAATAAACTAAATGAATAAGGTAATACAGAAAATTATCTTTTTATTTTAGTTTTAGTTCATATTTAGCAATTATTTGTCTATTAAAGTATGTATTTTGTTCATTATGTACATTATGTAGAAAATAAACATATAATTTCATTCATTCATTCAGAATTGACTTTATTCATTGTGTTGTGGGGTGATACTTTAAAAAGATATTAGTAAGAATTCTACCTTAGGCTAGTAAATTTAAAATGGAGGTTATTCTTTTTAAACGTTTTTTATTTGCTATCAACACTAACCGAATAACTTATTTAGTTTATAAATAATTTATATTTTTAAATTTTTAATACTCATTCTGACTTAGCGTTAAATACATTTGTTTTTAGTTTTTAATTCCTTATACATTTTTTTGATTAAAGTTATAATTGTTATGCTTCGAATATCGTAGGCATACAAACGATGGTTTTAATTATGGCTTTATTAGCCTATTTAAAAAAATATAAAGATAAGGATACCTCAGTCATTCGTGATGATTGTATGTAAAATTAACAGTCTGTTTTTTTTTTGTTAAAAAAGTCCATAACCAAGTTTTGTTACTGCTTAGGAAAGTTTCCATTTAATTAACAATATTACAATCTCTTAATTTTACACATTGGTAAGTTACGAATGCATTTTCTTTACTGCTACTACTTTTGCTTTAATTTAAAATTATATAATAGAATCATATTATAAAAAATTCTATGGTAAAATATTTTTAATAAATTACAAAAAGAAAGTTTTAGTAAAGGAAGAATTCCTTTATAAATTATAAACTGAAACACTCGATAAAAACTCAGAGAACAGTCCATTCAATGTGTTTAAATATACATTAAGATTTATCGTATTTTTTATTTTGCAATATTACTAAATTAACAATGGAAAACCAGATATAATACACGCACAAAACATTTCTGTAAGCTGGAGATTAGTTTGGTTAGACGTTCTTCGCTACATTACAAAAAGTGTGTAGGTACTACAAACAGAATACTGTTAAATATATGTTGACGATTAATATTTTCCTTGCGTTGCTTAATAAAATAAAGTGATTCGTATTGATTTAGTTTACTACTATAATAGTTCTCTATGATAGTAGTTGTCTATGTAATAAAATCCTAGTAACAATCCTAGTAAAAAATAGGGTCTAAAGTGACTCTTTTTGACACGAGGTCAAGTTTTACGATCGAGGTGGAGCCGAGGTCGGAAAATGAGTGAGTTCATAAAGGTGGGTTAAAAAGGTTCCGTGTTGGAAAAACTTGGTGGTGGAAGCTATCGGCTGACATGTTAGTGTGGCATGGCTCTAAATAGGTCAACTCAATATGTGTCCTATATTTCCTGGCTATTTATTAGCAAAAAAACAGAGAGAAAAGAGACAGGTTTTGTCCATCCACAAAATTATTTTCCTGACATCTCGGTTTGTTACCTTAAACCACAGACAAGGGAAACAAAGGTTTATTTTCTTTTATTTCCTTAGTCAAGCTTAAACCAATGGATTGCAGTGCATGTGTCTCCTTTCTTTCTGCGAGATAAGCCTTAATGCCATATAGAGGCCATGGGTTTATTCTCTGCAGACCGTTCCGTTCCTGCAGGTACGACTGATTCATTAGGAGCTACACTTCTTCTAGTGAAGATGCATTCCTTGAACTCACTTATGATAGGGCGCATTATTACTTTTTAATGATCCATCTAGTAAACCACGGTTTATCAGACCCATATTCATCCATTTTCTCAGTTGAAACATACTTTTTGTACGGTTTACTAGCTTCTTCAAATTTAATTTTGCGATTCAAATGGTTTTCACATTCTGTATATGACACACTCTCACCTCTCTCGCGATAACGAAGGTATGCGGCCTTTGCCCTCAACGCTGATATCCTTCCAAACGGCACAGTCCACTGTCGTCCACCGCTGAATAATCACCATATTTCTATTCTGTCTATCCGCATCATCTTTCCGCAACTTAAATTCACTCTTCAAATTACAACTTTTAAATTAATCAGTCTGTACAGTGCTAGTAGAAATTACAATATTTTTTTTTTCATATCAGTTGTATAATATATTTTATTAATAATGTTATAAAAGTTAAAAAATATAGTTACTTTTACACTTCCCTCGTTAAATAGGCAGCTTGGTGAGCAGATCAGAGACGGTGGTCGATATGATAACGTAAGTTGTTAGTTGATAACTTTGTTGTATCTCTCTCGATACATTGGTGGGGACCTTTTTGATTGGTCAACAGCTTCTTTCTTCACTTTAAGTATCATAAGTTTTAGACATGTTACGGCATCTTCTGCGAAGTCATGCCCGTCTTTCTCATTTTGAATCGCCTCATCAAGCAATTCACTGGCCAATACTTTCAATGCTTGCTTCTTATGAAACTTTAGAGCAAAGAGGTGGGATGCCCGTAGGAGGCTAGGGAATATTTGCCCTTGACTGTGAAATGTATTGGTCTACCAGGGGATCTGAGCTAGGAAGAGTGACAGTCGTCATTGCAGAGCTGAGGACTGTATACGACACCTTCGTAAAGCCGGAGTTCCCTGTCACCGACTAGAATGAGCGGCCTCACAAAAGAAAACCTGGGAAAGTCCAAAAAGTCATTCCCTGAAGTTCAGTCGGATATGTTTAAGCTGTTTAACAGCAAAACTATTCTGATTTGACATTCTCTAGAAAAATATTTGAAATCACTCCAGATTATCCACTTGACAGTTGTGGAGTCCACAGCCATTGTGTTTCAGAAGTCTGATAAGAAGCAAGCACTGAAAGTATTGGCCTGTGAATTGCTTGATGTGGTGATTCAAAATGAGAAAGACGGGTATGACTCAGTGGATTATGTCTGATCACTCCAGATTATCCACTCGACAGTTGTGGAGTCCACAGCCATTGTGTTTCAGAAGTCTGATAAGAAGCAAGCACTGAAAGTATTGGCCAGTGAATTGCTTGATGTGGTGATTCAAAATTATTTAAACATTTTTTTGCCACCAAGACTGATATTCGAATATATAATAGGTTTCGTACCTTGGTCCGTCTTCAGTCTTATTTTAGTCAATGGATGACTATTTTCGGGTACAAAGACCCATTGTCAAATCCTTTTCAAAACATCATGTAGAAACTAGTCAAAAATCCGACGGAAGTCTTCATCAATATATAAATACAAGTTGACACATAAAGTTCATTATTTAAAAAACACAAGTTACGGAACATATAAGACGATTGATAGGCCGGCCACATTTAACACGGGACAAACCGACACAGGTTAGACGGCGGACACGACAGAACTCAGAAGTCACAATCCATGCAAGGCGGCCTGGAATCTTGTAAATGGTGTGGCAAAGTCTAGAAAAACAAAAAGTAGGCCTAATGTGAGAGAAAGTCCAGATGAGTTTAACCAGTTCCTACTAAATGAAGTTGATAGGCTAGTTACCTCTATTCCTGATAGCGATAAAACTATGGCAGAAATATGTAGGCCTATACTAAATTTGGGTATGGAGAATGTGAAATTGGATAGGTGGGTTCCCGTTGGTCCTCAGAAACTTGTTCGGCTGGTCAATAAATTTAAGAACAAGAAATCCCTCGACATCTATGGCATGAGCGTGAATGTGCTTAAATGCATAATTGAAGTTATCGCTTATCCTCTTAGCATTGTACTAAATAGGTGCCTGCAGGAGGGCTGTTTTCCTGATGCCCTAAAGCTATCCAGGACAGTTCCCGTATTTAAGAAAGGGGACCCCGAATCAATGAAGAGTTATCGACCAATATCTATTATCCCAGTTCTGGCAAAGGTGTTCGAGGCAACCATGAAAGTTCAACTTGTGAGCTACTTTGAAAGTAACGGGCTTTTTGTAAATGCCCAACATGGTTTTAGGTGTGGCAAATCTACTGCCACGGCTGTTGCCCAGCTTGTAACTGAGGTCCTAAACGCTTTCGAGGCAAATGAATCTCTGGCTCTGGCTCTCGCGGACCTAAGCAAAGCTTTCGACTGCGTCCCTCATGCCCTGCTTGTCGAAAAACTGAAAGCTTACGGAGTCTGTGGTGAGGTGCTTTCCACCTTCGCATCCTACCTGGCAGGTAGGAAACAATTCCTCACCCTGAATGGAGTCAACTCTTCCCCCCAACCCGTCAACCATGGAGTGCCCCAAGGTTCGGTCATTGGACCGGTTCTCTTCTTGGTCTTGATTAACGACCTAGGTGTGCAGGGAGACATACTTCTATTCGCAGACGATACCACCTTTTCTGCAAGAGGCAAAACACCTGACTTGGCCCAGGAATCGGTAACAGGAAAATTTGTTATGGCCAAACAGTGGTTCCTTGACAATAAGCTGAGCTTAAACGAAGATAAGACACAAGAAATTGTATGTAGCCTCAGTTTAAGCCAATCATCAACTTCTCCGGAAGTTAAGTTACTGGGTTTTGCCCTGGATGCTAAATTAAGCTGGAACAGTCACACGGCTAACATCTGCCTAAAATTAGCAAAAGTAACACGTCTCCTCAGGTGCCTAAAGCCTCTAATATCTAAGGAGCACCTATTAATGATCTATTATGCACTGTTTCACAGTCATGTTATGTATGGGCTTCAGCTGTGGGGACACGCATCGGGATGCAAAAATATCCTACTCGAGCAGAAAAAAGCCTTGAGAATCATAGACTCGGCTGGTTTTCTCGACCACTGCAAACCTATATTTGCAAAACTCGAAGTCTGCACTGTGTTTAGCCAGTACATTCTGCTTAGCCTGCTTTATGTCAGGGAAAACCTACCTTTACTAACTATGAGAGGGGACCTGCACCCATATAACACCCGAGGGAGGGAAAAGATTGATATCCCTTTTTGTAGGCTGAGTAGAAAGAAGGAATGCTTCCCAGTCCTGGCAATAAAACTTTTCAACACGCTCCCAACTAGTGTGAGAAATCTGGAGGTCGGGAAGTTCAAGACTCGGGTAGAGCGATGGTTGAGGAAAAATCCTTTCTACTCCATTGAGGAATATTATAAAGCAGATACCAAAAATATATAAGGCCTAGCTCGGTAAAGACCTGCCGCCAAACACACAACCCAAAATATGTAAATAGTGTACAGTTTTTAAAAGTTTATATTTGTTGTACAGTCCTAAATATTAGTTTTAAAAGTATTACTGACGCCATCTATCCAGTGTCACTGGTCAAAGATGAAGGAAAGAAGTATGAAGTAAGTAAGTATGAGCCGTGACTACTCAGCTCTCAGTCAGTATTTTTGTGACATTCGCATGGTGGAACGTGTCTTGCGACTGGGAATCGATGAGCTTGAGCTCATTGACATTGTTCTTCAGGGGTTGAAACCTGAGGAACGCTCCCGTTTGGTTTTTGCGCAACGACCATAATCTTTTGCGGATCTGGACAAGCTCTCCATCATTTCAAGGTCTGTCCAGGACGCTGATTTCCAAAGAGACCAAGCAGCGGGACATCATTCCCCAATTGGTCAATACGCCGTTGTAGCACCCGTGGCGTTGGGTCCCGATCCGCTGCAGTGGAGGCACCCCATTGTTTGTTTTGCTTGTGGTCAACCAAGGCACATAAGGCGGTTTTGTCGCCAGAAGTTGGGTCGTGTGTCTTGGCCAAAAGTTTGAGTTACTCACAAGGGAAAGTTTTGCCTGAAACGCCCTGTGAGGTTGTTGTGGAGAAAGAGAGCCTCCGACATAATTCTGCTATGACTCATGTATGAGGGTAATATATAATTAAAGAGTTTATCATGTTCTAAGCTTACATTAAATTTATATTAACCTAAAAAATATCTATAATAATTATATAGGTATGGTTATGTCCCCCCTTTTATACACATTAATTGTGGATATTTATAGGCATGCACGGTGGATGCGATGCTTCCTTGCGTGGATTAACGTCCGCACTAGTGAGTACTACGACTATCCGCAGGACTATCCTGATAATTAGACCAATTCGTTATAATTACAAGGAAAAACTGTGGTTTGGATTCCACTATAAACTGTAGGTCCCTTAGTTGTCATTAGCTGTATGCGCTATTAATTAACATCTGTGTCTGAGGAACATGTCGGCCTTAGTCACTAACAAGACTACAAAAGATCGACTCATCCTACACTCATCCTACACTCATCCTTCACTCATATTTGGTTAAAATACGCACAAAGTGGCGTCCCCATCTTAAATTATTTATATAAATATACAAAATAAGCCTTTTCTCTTTTTTCGTAACTGACTTGTTTAAGCCATTAACCCTAATGAAATTTCTTGCACCCCACAATGCTTAGTCTTTGGAATTGGTTAAATATAAAATCCATTTAACTATGATAAAGCTTTAAGAGGAGACAATTAATATACCGTAGCTCATGCAATTATTGCTGCAGCTCAACCACGATTTTTCATATCGCCCCTGCTGCTTGACCTTCACAGACGGTATGGCTCAAAGTTGCCATTAGACATTCTATCTTAGCTCGGAATTTGCTCGACATACAAGAAGGTCGTCAATTATGAGACTTCGATGGCTGATAATGTCTCACCTTCAATAGATGACGGCACTTACGTTCAGTATGATGGACATGGAACTCTTCACGCCATGGATGACATTGAGTGCGTAACACCAGCCGAAATGTGTCAATGAAAGTGCTCCTCTACCACGTTCTACAATCCCAAAAGCAAAAAAGTGTCCTTCTATCTCATGGCTTTCAGCCAGTGACACCTTACCAACGTCCGCCTAAGCCTAGGACATCATTAGTAGTGTTGGCAGATGTCAGTAAAACTCTTTCCGAACCAAAAATAGTTGTATATGCTTGTCTTGCTGACACCCTATGACTCATACTCACCCACTGAGTGACAAACCAAGTCCAGGTTGGAATGGATTCATGAATACAGTACAACGACCCTTATGATCTTTATTGCACCACGATGCATGGATACTGCACTGGACACGGATGTGCCAACCGCGCTAGTTACAACGAAGATTACATCACCGACAATAACATTTAACAGCAAGTAGTTACATTATAAGTTTATACTTATGCAATATTAAAATATAATGGTAATCAATTATAGCAACGATATGATGATTCTATTTTTCAGATCGGAACGAACGAAATTATGAATTGCTTTTTCATAATTTATTTTGTACTTCATTGTTTAATTGTTGCTTTCCTAGTCAAGATTATATTTCCTGTTACTGATGTTGCTCTGCTCCTGCCATAGATTTAAGTTAGTTAAGTTTTCTGTTAAAATGCATGTTGTTACCACTTAGGCTTCTTGAATCCACATTGTAAATTGGTGATCTTGCCGTTGGAATAAATAAATAACAAATTACAGCATTTAGGTGAATAAAAAGTCAATACCCCCTTCTCTAATATTTTCTAAGTGAATATACAGAGATGTCCTTTTGGTGGTCGTCCAATCTTAGCAGGATGTTTCATTTTATGAATTTTTAAATGTTCCCCCAAAAGGGGGGATTTTGGGGTTACTCAAAAATAAACCCCCTTCAAGTGGCATCTCATCTTAAAGTG